AAGTGGCCCCTTATCTTCTCCTCTCCTAGGCTTCAAGGACAATGGAAGGGGCACTACCCCTTTCTGCAGCTGTGCCGCTAAGTGCTAGACTTGCCCTTGTCCAGTTGAACCACTGGGAGCCCTGAGCCAAACTCCCACCTCCTTGGGGAGGTTACCCCTAAGCCCAGCCTCCTCTCATAGCACCCTTTCTTGAAGGTCCCTCCCACAAGTTTCTATGTGCAATGACTGGCTTCTTACCTAGCTAAAAGTTCCCACCATGATGAGCAAGTAGGAGAGGACACTCATGGGGGCGAAGGACCTGAGTCCCAACTTTTCAAGATGAGCTAGAATTGGAAAAGGTAGGAAACAACAGTCAGAAGACAGTATCTGTGGTCTTGCCAGCCAGTCTAAGAACTGTCAGTTTTCTGGGTAGCTGACACATTAATACATTAATGATTTTTCATACCATTGACTCTGCCTTAATTTTTTTATTGTCTTTTTGAGACAGTGTCTCCCTGTAGCTCCAGCTGCCTGGAACTCACTCTGTAGACCAGGCTGGCCTCGAACTCACAGAGGATCTGCCTGCCTCTGCCTCCCAAGTGCTGAGATTAAAGGTGTATACCATCACACCCGGCTAACTCTGCCTTAATTTTTATACTAGCTTAAGGAGCTTGAAATTAAATATGTCACTGAGATGCCACCTATTAGAGGTTACTCAATTCAGTTTATGGAAGATACATATAGAATTACCAAAGATGATCTTTGTATAGAAAATGGTGACCATCTGATTCCCAACTTCTACACAGAATTTAAATCTTAAGTCTTTTCTCCAAGGCTTACCTTCAAGTTTTATAACCGATTTTCTCCACAGAAGTTATGAGGATTACTCAAATAAGTCCAATTCTGTTACTTGTCTGCTTCCTTCATTTTTTTAAGGTTATTGTATTTGTGTGTGTGCACATGCATATGTGAATGTGTATGTGGGCACCCGCACAGGCCAGAAAAGGGCCTAGTGTCCCCTGGAGCTGGAGTTACAAGTAGTGTGATATGGGTGCTGGGAACCAAACTTGGGTCCTCTGCAAGAGCAGTAAGTGTTCTTAACTGCTGAGCCATCTCTCCGGCTCCTCTAATGGTTTAAATCACAAATATAAACATAGCTGTACCTATTGCTATGACCTAGCAGCCAAATTAGGGTAGCCTCCTTTAAAGACCCCAGGATATACAGACGACTAAAACAGTGCCAATTCATAACTAGTCAAAGTAATGAAGGGCCCTCATAAAGTTAAACTCAGACAATGAACAGCTGCTTTTTAGCTAGCTGATTTAGTAATGGTACCACGATGAGCTTTTATTCCCTGTCCCACTGGCAAGTGACAGGGAGCTGGTAGAAAGAGCAAATGAACAACACAAAGGACATATACTCTGTGGTCTAAGACTAGAGTGTGTATTGAGTTAACGGGATCCTATAAAGTTTTCTACTTTGATTTCAAGCAAAGGTTGGCAACACTAACAGAACACGCAGGATCCCCACAGAACTGGTAAGCAAGAGCCTATGGGTAAAGAAGGTAAGAAAAAGTTGAATGAGTCCCCCCAAATTTTACACTAGTAAGCACCAGTCCCTCCTGTTTCCTAAACTAGTGGTTCCCAAACTTGAACCATAATCAGAATCCCCTGCAAGGCTTTTAAATGCATAGCTGGGCTCTGACTCCTGTTTCAGATTCAGTACCACTGAGAAGGGAGCTGAGTTGTGTATCTAACCAGTTACCAGATGATACTAATGCTAACTGAAGACCCCAGGATATGCTGAGAATTTCAATTCTAGGTAGAGGCTATACTTTGAGAAACCCTGTCTAAATCATTCTATAACCTCCAAAAAAAGTCCTTTAGTCTAAGCTACCACATGTTCTTGGGAACATGGCCTAGCAAAATAGACCAGAGATTACATATTAATGACTTAACGCCCTCAAGATGACAGGTGTACATGATCAACCCACTTACACCATCCTGGTTAACTGTCACAAAGTGAAAATGCCCAATGTAATTTTAACTTGAGTTCCTCAGATATATTTGAAAGCACAACAGACATGACTGAGCCTTAAGGACAAACTATATATCTCAGTTACCTGATGACATCAATACCATTGCTACTCAAAGCACGGTCAGCAGACCATCAGCATGGTACTACATAGGAGCTGCTTAAAAAGCCAAATCTTCAGGGAGGGAGTGGGCATGGGTTTGATCAAAACACCTTATATGCATGTGTGAAATACTCAATAGTTTTTGTAAAAGTTAAAAAAAAAAAAAAGACAAATCTTCAGGTCCACTGCTCACCTACCTTTAGAATTCATACTTTCTCAATGCCTATAGGCACTGAGGTCTATAATGTGACTCCTAGGCATATTAACACATGAGAAGTTGCACTAAGTGATATCCTAACACAAAGGAAAACTGAAATGTTTTCCCTAGAAAGCACAACTACATTTTAAACTTCTAAAGGAAACAAAGCAAAAATGCTTGACTTGTAACAGACTTTTAACATTATCCGTAAACTAAAAGAATCAAAGGTTAAGGTCATCTGGTCAATGTGTTTTTCTGATCTTGTAAGTCAATATCTCATATTCAAAAAAATTTCCACAGAATATACCACTATAAATAAAAAATTTAAAAACTGAGAACAGCTTTCCTCTGTTGCTCAACTGTCTAAAAAAATTACTAAATACTTCATTTACTCTGATACCTTGAACTCAGTGTAAAATGAAGGAGTAAGACGAAATAACTGAAACAGCATTGCAGCTGTAGAACATTCATTATGGTGCTCAGAATGCAGGATCGTTTTAAGTGTTCGTTGAAGACAAGCCTAGTTCTCAAGTCCTACATGAAATTATTAGCGTTGAGAAACATACAAGAAAACTGCCTAAATATTATCCAAAAATTATCACAAGACAAATATTCTTCAATGGCAAGGAAAACCTATTTCCAAGTAAATTTGGTTGAGGAAACTGTTAAATCTAAGCTCATTGTAACTAAACTAAAAAAGCTTTTTTTCCTTTTTTCATATTCAAGTCAGGGGTTTGGCTATGCATTTGAGGTTGACTTTGAACCCATAGCAACCTTCCTGCCTCAGCCTCCCAAGTCCTGGCACACACCACCATACTTAGCTTAAAAATGTTTTTCTTAACCAGTTCTGTAAGTCACATTTAAGTTTGAGAACTCCCAAGATTTTATTGTCAAAATGGACACTAGTTTGGATGGAGTGGTGCACACCTGTAACCACAGCACGCAGGCACTCACAAGGCGGAGACAGGAAGATCATGAGTTTGAGTCCAACTTGGGCTATATAGAAAAACTGGACAATACTAAGTTTTTGTTTTGTTCCCTTTGAGACAGAATCTTGCTCTGTGGGAATTCTCCAAGTAGACTAGCAGTCAAAACTTTAATTCAAAGTATTAGGAGCTCGCTATGGTGGTACACACCTGTAATCCCAGCCCTTGGTAGGTGAGGATACAGGAAGATCAGGAGTTTGAGGCCAGCCTGGGTTACATGAGATTCTGTCTCAAAAGAGCCAAACAAGAGCTAGGAGATTTGAAATCACATAAGCCTGTAAGAAGTACAAAGCAGTTTCCCCTCATCTGATAAGCTGGTCTACATTCAGAATTCACATGTCAGGTTTTAGGCAATGAATTTAAGTTATGGAGAACTTCATGCATGAGAGGACCTACATGTCAGAAGACAAAAATCTGAACGCACAACTCAAAAGCTTTCTGTCAACTAATATTCTACCAAAATAAACTGTGTAAGACAGCAATCAATCAAGAACTCTTTTTATACCTAAAATATCTCTTCCCAGGCACTCAATTTCTTTCTTTTTTAATGCTGAAAATGACTACATAACAGTATTCAACATTTTATCAAGTAGGGAAGAGTACAGGCAGTAGGCAAACAAGGCCCAGCTTTAATCACTACCCTTGGAGGCCAGGGACAATAAGCCATGCCAAAGTTCATGATGCTGTTCATCCTAAGGAAATATAGACACAGGCTAAATTACAGCATGACCCTTCTCATCAACAGCTTCAACTGCCTTCCACTTTAAGCACATTTTTATGTACTATAGCCCAAGAACATTTCAGGAAGCCAGACCCCATCTTACACCTCAGTGTAGCCTGTCAACCTCTTTGGAAACATTCAAAAGCCAATATAACAATGCAAATTGCTACTAAGTACATAAGTTTAATGTCATTCCTGGGCCACCCCCTACTCCCGTAGATAGCAAGATGATCAGTTTAAGACCAGCCTACTTCAGTATCTGAGACTGAGGCAAGCAAGTACATGGGGAGACCACGTCTCAAAAACAACCAAAAGATGAGCAGTTTACAATCACTCTACATTCTTCAACAATGAAATATGACTGAATGCTTACTTTTGTGAATCCATATTCAATTTATAAGAGGAAGAAAAAAATAAAAGAATTAAAAAAATCCCAGTAACCCTGGCCAGACCACTCCTATAGGGAGTCTGTCTTTCAAGGAAACATCAGTACAGAGGACATGGATTCCATGAGGCATCCCAGAGCTAGAATACTTACCTGTTAGCATGTAAGTCAATGCCACACCAGTTCTACAACTGGTATAGAACTTAGGTGTCAATATATGCTGATCTACAAATTCATACAGAATTTGAGACAACAGTCTTTCACCTAAAAGCTATAGTTTAGCTGGGTGTGGAAGTAGTGTAAGCCTTTAGTCCCAGCACTTGGGAGGCAGAGACAGGAGGATCTCTGTGAGATGGAGGCCAGCCTGGACTACATAGTGAGTTACAAGTCAGCTGGGGCTACAGGGAGACCCAGCTTTAAAAAAAAAAAAAAAAAAAAAAAAAAAAAAGGCTACACTTTAAACTCAGAATTCGCTTTTTCAGAAAAATGACTGAAATGATACTTTGCTAAATTCAGTTATTTAGTTTAAAGTGAGTCAGAGCAAGACTACCTCTTTAAATACCAATACTACTTCATTAGCAACAAAACCTACTTTTGTGTAGCGATGGGGGGATTTGGAGGTGGGCAGTTTCTTCACATCAAGGAAAGCGTCTCCATTTTCGGTTTCACCCACACCTCTTTTATCCATGGCTTCTTGGTCTACAATTTTTTTGCACCTGGAATACGTAATTCAGCACAAAATTATCAAAGAGAACAGTAAATACTCAGAATCTTAGCTGCTTGTGAAACTAAAGCTTAAAAATACACCCAGAAATTACGGTATGACCCAAACCAAACTGGAAGGAGAACCACCAGGGTTTGGTTCTCTCCTGGCGAAGTCTTCTGAGCATCCACAGAGTAAGGAAAGCAGAAGTGGAAGGGGCTCAACTCAAGGGCACAACCTTAGAGCATCTAACACAAAGAGAAACCAAAATAGTCGCTGCCACCCCTAGGAACCCACCGGCCGGCGTCGATGAAGTTTCCCAGAGTAGCGTGAGGGTAGGTGGGGGACCAGTTGGGGTGCGGACCGGGAAGTCGGGCTGTGGTAAAGTGCCTGAGTGCCTGTCACTTGTCAGGGGAGGGCACCAGCTGCCCCTTATTACCCGGGGGCCAGGAGCCGGGTAGCCCACCCGGGCGAACCTCGCTCAGCGGGCCGCACCTGTGGCCATGTCAGAGGCGTCTGCGGTGAGGGGCGGGCCAGTGCAGGCTCCAGCTCAGAAACCGGGCTTCCTCTGGCCAACCCCCTGCCCCTCGCGCAGGCCCAAGGCAGGAGGCCTCCGAGGAAAGAAGGGCGGGGACATACTGAGGGGAGGCCGGCCGGAGCGAGCAGGGAGGCCAAATCCTGAAGCGGGCGCAGGCCTGCCGCCGTCGGCCCCTGCCCGGCAGCTTGGGCCCCGCCAGGCCGCCCGCCTGCTGCCCGACCGCCGGGCGCCCCGCGGGCCGCCAAGCCCCTGCCCGGTCCCTGCGCGCGTTCCGGCTCCCGAGCTCCCGCACGCGCCCCTTCTCGCCCGCAGGCCCCGGCGCACGGAGCCCCGGACTTGACGCCGCCGTACCCCCGCTCGGCGCTTCCGCGGCCAGGCGGCCCTGTGCTTCGGCCGCCGTTCCCCCCGCTGCCCGCTCCAGTCCCCCCCGCTGCCCGCTCCAGCCCCGGCGCTGCTTCCCGCGGCCTCCGCTCGCGCCCCCCCCCCCTCTCGGGCTGGCTCTCTTCAGCCGCCGTAATAGCGGCCCGGCCCTCCGGCCCTCCTCTCCGCCCCCTCCCCCTTAATAACCCCCTTCGCGCACCGCGGCCCCAGCACCGCCCTCGCCGCCGCGCGCCCGGATGTGAGGCGGCCGCGGCGCTGCCGGGCGGGAAAGGGGAGCTTGGCGGCGCGCTCCGCGGGCGCTGGCCTCTGCGCGGGCCGGGCAGCGGGAAGACAACGGCTAGCTAGAGACGGCGGCAGCGAGGAGCAGGCCATGGCGGACGCAGCGGGAGCCCGCGCAGGCGGGCGCAGTGGGCAGCTCAGGGCAGGGCGCCGCGTTCCCACGCGTGGTGAGGGGCGGAGCCAGTGGCGCGAGGTCCCGGGGCCCGCGCCACGCCGCCGTGAGAGGAGCGGGACCTCAGCTGGGTGGGCCCGGGTCTGCGCTGCCCTGGCTGCACCGCCGGGATGGGCGGTGGCAGCCGGGCTCGGAGAACACGGCTGGTTTTGGGTTGGGTTTGGGTGGGTTTTGACCACTGGCATGATCTTGCGTAAAGCTCAGCCTTGTCTGATTTTTGACTGTCCCCAAATATACGAGCAAGCGCCTTAGGAGTACGGGCTGGTTCGTCAATGAGTAGAATTGTTAGTTGTTTTGGGTGCCTCATAGAGGCAGTTAAAAATTTCATTGCACTAACTTCCGGTGCATAATCTGAGTCTTTCCTTAGCCTACGGGAAGGGAAGGGTTAAGGATGGGGGAGAAATGAGGTGGTTAGCATCAAGCTCGAGTGCCGGAACTCAAGTTGACAGAGGTACAGAAACCAATAGTGAAGAATGCTGGAACTGCCGCGCTGGGGAGGTCACTGTGAGTCCGGTTTGCAGAAGTATCTGGAGCTACCGTGGGACTGCCCAGAGTTGGTGTCGAATGACCTGTGGGCCTGAAGGGAGGCAATTTTTTTTTCTAAAGAACAGTAGCTGTGGAATTTGGAACATCGTGTAATTTCAGTTTAAGGGAGCTTGAGACCGGGAGTTCAAGGCCAGCCTGGGCAACACGGCATTTGAGAAACTACTTCGTGGCTAATAGTTACTGAAGTTTCTTCCTGTGAGCCTTGGCAACAGAAATCCATAATTTACGTTTGTAATGCTTAATAAAAATCTATCTTTTCTGTTTGTTGGAGTTAGGGTCTCACGATGTAGCCCTGGCTGGCCTCCCAAGTGCTGAAATTATAGGTGTGTGCCTTCAGGACTCTTTTCCTCTGTAGAAAAGAGGCAGAGAAACAGCTGCACTTGAGGCCAGAGTCTTCATTGCCCTCTAGGCTTCGGAGAGTTAGGAAATATGTTTATGTTTAGCCTTGTTTTTCTCTTACGAAAAACGAGGTGGTGATAACCCATTTAGCAGGTGTCAAGATTAAATATGACAGTGTGGGTTAAAACCTCCATCAACTTATTCAGAGACATATTGTAGGTAATAACCAGTGATTTTATTATTCTTAAACCATGCTTAGTGGTGGCGCATGCCTTTAATCCCAGCACTCGGGAGGAAGAGACAGGTGGATCTTCGTGAGTTCGAGGCCAGCTTGGTCTACATAGTGAGTTCCAGGACAGCTGGGGCTACAAGGAGACACTGTCTCAAAAAGACCAAAAAACCATGCTTAGTGACAGTGCTTGCTTGGTATCCTCAAGCCCCTGGGTTTGATCTCCAGCACTGTAAACAAAACCCATCTTTTCCCTTTGGAATCCATCTTCTTAAAGCTGAGAGAAATGGGACGAATTCCCTTGCCATTATGGACACATACCCTGAGTGAAGGCATACTAGCTAGGTGCTGGGATCACACCTGGTTTGGGAATCGAACTCAGGTCCTTATCCATGCTAGGGAAGCACTCTACTAACTGAGCCATATATATATGTTTTTTTAAATTTATTTTTATTTTATTTGTATGAGTGTTAGGCCTGCATGTAAGTAAGTGTACCCGTGTCGTGCAGTGCCCATGAAGGACAGAAGAGGCTATCGGATCCCCTGGAACTGGAGTTATGGACAGTTGTTAGCTGCCATGTGGGTGCTGGGATTCAAACCCAGGTCTTCTACAAGAACAGTCAGTGTTCTTAACTGCTGAACCATCTCTCCAGCCCCGAAATTATATTTCTTGAAGCTATTAAGTGCCACTTAGTGTACAATCTGACTGTATTTCACTATTCTAGACATCAGCCTCACCTGTCAGAAAGGGATCAAAGTTCTTTTCGGTCACGTAGAAGTAATTAGAGGTAACATTAAAACCAGCTGAGGCTGGGCATGGTAGCACATACCTGTAATTTCAGCATTCAAGAGATGGTGGCAGGCAGATCTGTGAGCTCCAGGATAGCCTGCTGTACGTAGTGCTAGGCTAGCCAGGGCTACATAGTGAGACCCTGTCTCAAAAAATAAAAAGCAGGGCTGGAGAGATGGCTCAGTGGTTAAGAGCACTGGCTGCTCTTGCAGAGGACCTGATTCCGATTCCCATCACCCACATGGTGGCTAACAACCATCTGCAACTCCAGTTTTAGAGGATCCAACAAGTCTTCTGGCCTTCTTGGGCATTACACAACATGAATGTACTTAATGCACATATATAGTTAAAACACTCACACATGGGCTGAAGAGATGGCTTAGCAGTTAAGAGCACTGGCTGCACTTACAGAGGACCCAGGCTCAATTCCCAGGACCCACACAGCAGCTAACCATCCATAACTCCAGCTCCAGGGGAATTTGATGCCCTCTTCTGCCCTCTTAAGGGCACTGCACGTCACAGGTGCACTTACATACATGCTGGCAATACAGTAACATAAAAATAACATACTTAAAAAAAAAAAACACTCATAAAACTAAAAAGCCATCAAAACCTAGCGGCTGGGGATGTAGCTCAGTGGCAGAGTACATGCTTGGTATATGCAAAACCTTCAACTTGATCTCTGCTAGCAAGGACTGGACTGGGGGCTGGGGATGCAGGCACCAAGCAGTTCTTATCTGGTTATTTCTTCTGTATAACAAGCCCTACCCAAACTCGGAGGTTTATGCCAATACTTATTTTGCTCCCAAATTTTAAATTGGCAGGTACCAGCAGCTGTATTCTACATCATTACAGGGGTTCTTAAACGATGGGAGCTAGGCTTACTTAAAGGCTTACTGACTCACATGCTTGGGAATTGAAGGCATTGTCAGCTGAGATCACTGAAGCTTTGTTTGGAAGTTACACATGGAATTTAATATGGCCTGAGCTTCAGATTTTAAGGATGAATATTCAGAAAGTAGTTGCTTCATTGTCTCCCGCCTCCTTTTTAAATTGCCACACTGGGAGTTGAACCTAGAACCTTGCATGTGCTAGGAAAGGGCTCTACCATGAGGCACACACCCCAGTCCACATTGTCTTTCTAACTTGGCCTTGAGATCAGTTACTTTTCTAGATTCCACAGTATGTTCCTTAGAAAGGACTCACAAAAGCTGTTCTATTTCAAGGGAAAGAACCTGACTTTTTTTTTTTTTTTTGATACTGGGTGTCCCTATAGCCCCAGCTAGCCTGGAACTTGCGATGTAGACCAAGCTGGCCTCACAGAGATCCACCTGCCTCTGCCTCCTGAATGCTGGGACTAATGGCATGTGCCACCACACCTGGCTTGAGACTTGACTCATATAGGAGAAATGTCAACTTGTGGGTCTTAAAACTGCCATGAGCTGTATATGAAGTCAGTGCTTAAAGCATGGTAGCAGCCAGGTGTGGTGGCACATGCCTTTAACCTTAGCACTTGGGAAGCAGAGGCAGGTGGATCTCTGAGTTCAAGGCGAGCCTGTTCTACATAGGTCAGCTGGGGCTACAGGGAGACCCTGTCTCAAAGACAAAAAAAAAAGTAGCTATCACAGTTGTCTGGAACTAATTTCCTGAGTGCTCTAGTCTATCCTGGTTTGGGCCTACTCTTCTACTGGGGCCTTTTAATGCCCTGTAGAACCTTGGCCTCACCTCTCTTTATTCTTTTTTTTTTTTTTTTTGTCTTTTTGAGGCAGGGTCTGCCGTGTTCCTCCTGGAACTCCCAGGCTGGCCTCAAACTCACAGAGATCTGCCTGCCTCTGCCTCCCAAAGGAGTGTGTGGCACCACGCCCACACCTCTTTATTCTTCGTCTTTGTTTTACATTTTGAAAAGACAATTATTATGAATAGAGGTAAAAATTTACCTGGGCAAGGCACCCAGAAACTTGTCACCTGTGCCAGTCTTATTGTAGCTTTTGTCGGTTCCTCTCTCAGCAAGAACAGTAATTTACAACTGCTCTCTGGTCACTTATACTCAATTTTACCTTTTTTTTTTTTTTCTTTTTGAGACAGGGTCTCCCTTTAGCCCCAGCTTGCCTGGAACTCACTATGTAGACCAGGCTGGTCTTGAACTCAGATCCGCCTGCCTTTGCTTCCCGAGTGCTGGAATTAAAACACGTGGCTTCTTTTTTCCTTATTTTTAAAAGTTAAAAAAAAAAAATATTTTTGTACTTTTGGGTGGTTTTTTTTCTTTCTTTTTTTTTTGACAGTGTCTCCTGTAGCCCAGGCTAGCCTCAAACCACTCTGTAGCTGAGACCAATCTTGAACTTCTGATCCTTCTGCCTCCACTTTCAAGTGCTAAGAGCAATGGGACACCACAAGCAGCTCTACTCAATTTCTAAATCCTTTGAATCAGTAAGGAAACTTATCCTGGGCTAGAGGTTGGGTCACCAGTTAAGAGTACTGGCTGCTCTTGCAGAGGACCTGGATTCAATTCCCAGCACCCACTTACCTAACAACGGTCCTAACTCCAGTTCCAGAGGATTCGACACACTCTTCTGACCTGCACAGGCTCTGCATGACATGGGTGCACATATACACATGCAGGCAATAAAATTCATACACATAAAAATATTTTAAATTTTAAAAAATCCTATTTTGTAATGAAATATTTGCAAGAAGTTGGTTTAGTAACCCTAAACTGTTGCTTCAAAGTTGGGCATAAGGGGACTCAAAAGAATTGGAAAAGTAGAGAAGAAAATATTACCTACAAAAATGACATGAGGGGCTGGAGAGATGGCTCAACGGTTAAGAGCAGTGATTGCTCTTGCAGAAGACCTGGGTTCGATTCCCAGCACCCACATGGTGGCTAGGAACCATCCTTAACTCCAGTTAAAGGGGAATCTGAAGCCCTCTTCTGACCTCCATGGCATTGCACAACATGGGTACATTCACATACATGCAGGCAATACACTTACAAAATAAAAATAAAATATTTAAAAAAAAATGACACAAGCACCTGTTTGATTTTATTAGCCGGCCATTACCTTCAGCAGCCTAATCTCAGTTATGCTGCATCTCTTTAGGCCTTTTTCTACCTGGTTTTACTTGCTAAGCATTCTCCTCAGTACCAAGAAGTTTCACTGCTGTTACCTCATATCATTGAGTTAAAAGCAAGACCTAAGCCAGACGTGGTGGTGCACACTTTTAGTCCCAGCACTCGGGAGGCAGAGGCAGGTGGATCTCTGAGTTCAAGGCCAGCCTGGTCTACATAGTGAGTTCCAGGACAGCTGGGGCTATAGGGAGACCCTGTCTCAAAAAGACCGAAAAAAAAAAAGCAAGGCCTAAATTAAGGGACTTCCTGGGGACCATTCATCAAGTCACTTACAGAGCCCAGATTCCTTCCAGTACTTAAAAGCTTTGGTGTTTTATTATGGGTAGTGGTGGTTGTGCTAGGAGTTTTTCTTTTTGAGACAGGCTTACTATATGCAGCCCTGGCTGGCCTAGAACTCACTGTATAGACCAGGCTATCCTTGAATTCAGATCCACCTGTGTCTGCCTCCCTAAATACTGGGATTAATGGTGTGCCCCACTATACCATACTACAGCTTCGATGGTTTTGTTTTGTTTTGAGACAGGGTCTCCCTGTAGTCCCAGCTGGTCTGGAACTGGCTGTAGACAGGCTGGCCTGGATCTTACAGAGATCTCTGCCTCCCAAGTGCAGGGATTAAAGGTGTGCTTTACCACTCGAAGCCCTACAGATTCATTCTAGATTTGGGAATTCCTAGATGCAAATAGAACACCAAAAAGCTTGACTGACCACAATTACTATATCTTCTCTCTCCTGAAAGGATGATAACTCACTTGAAATACAGCTTATCCCTTCCTAAATTAGCTAAGGCTGAGGGTGGGAACCACACAAGATGGGCAGAAAGCATCAGCGAATCAGCACAAATACAGAATGCTTACTCATATCCTAGATTATATCAAATTTATACAGGTACTTATAAGACTAATTTTACAGGGGTGGAGAGATGGCTCAGCGGTTAAGAGCACTTTTTACAGAGGACCTGGGTTTGATTCCCAGCACCCACATGACAGCTAACAATGGTCCATAACTCCAGTTTTCAGGGGGATCTGAGGCCTCCTTCTGACCTGAAGGCATTGCACAACATGGGTGCACTTACACACATGCAGGCAATACACACATACACATAAAAAAATAAAAATATTTTAAAAAATAATTTTACAATAAATAAAAATCGGTTCCAGTATTTTGATTATGAAATGCCCCTAATTACCTTAACAGTATCCCAAAAAAGGTTGGTTTTCTATAAAATAGAACTTCCTTTTTTAAATTTCATTTTTTAGGACTGGGGGATTGAACCCAGGGCCTCTGATTGTGTTAGGTAACTGCTATAAAGTCTTTAAAAATTTGAGACAGGGTCTTGGTAAGTTTCCAGAATGATCTTGAATTTGATTTTCCTACCGCAGCCTCCTGAATAGCAAGGGAGTACAGACATGTACTAGTAGGATGGATTTAAATGCCATTTATTTGCTCAAGCATGCATTCATTCATTCATTCATTCTCTAGCCCAGGCTGTCCTGGAACTCACTGTGTAGTTCGGATTGGTCTTGAACCCTGTGATCATCCTGCCTCAGCCTCGCACAGGGGTTACCACCATAACTGGTTTTAAATACTTCAGATTACAAAATCAACACATGTAAGAAAGGGTAAAAAGTGACTTGATTCAGGCAGGGCATGGTAGCCCATGCCTTTAATAACTCAGTTTGGGAGGCAGAGGCAGGCCACATCTCTGTAAGTTCAAGGCCAGCCTAGTCTACATAGTTCCAGGCCAGCTTGGGCTACAGGAGACCCTTTCTTAAAAAGACCAAAAAAAAGAAAAAAAAAAAGATTTGATTCTAATAACGATTCACAATATTTTTCCTTATGTTTTTAAATTCAGAATCTGATTTTTCAAAGATATTTTATTATTTTTATTTTATGTGTATGAGTGTATTGCCTGCATGTATGTGCATGCACCCCCCCATGGTTGTGCAGTGCTGGGGAGGTCAGAGAGGGCTTCCGGATTCCCCTGGAACTGGAGTTAAGGACCGTTTATAGCCGCCATGTGGGTGCTGGGAATCGAACCCTTGTCCTCTGCTCTTAACTGCTGAGCCATCTCTCCAGCCCCGATGATTTTTTTTTTTTTAAATTAAAAAAAAAGACAGGTTTCCTGGCCTCTGCGTTAAAGGTATACACCACCAGGCCCAGGGCTCTGCTCGCTCCTTAAAACTTTTTTTTTTCATCTTTTGAGACAAGGTCTCTCTGTAGCCCCAACTGGCCTGGAACTCAGTATGTAGACCAGGCTGGTCTCAATCTCATAGAGATCTGCCTGCCTCTGCCTCCCGAGTGCTGGGATTAAAGGTATATGCCACTACGCCCCGCTCCTTAAAACTTTAAAAGATGTAATTAAAAAGCACTAATTAAGGGGCTCACATACATGCAGGCAATATACACACATAAAATAAAAATAAATAAATAAATAAAAACTAATTAAGTGGGGCGTGGTGGCGCACGTCTGTGATCCTAGGCTGAGGCAGAGGGACTTGCCAGGAGCTCTAAACCAGCTTAGGCTGCAGACTGAGCCCTTGTCTCCCGGGAAACCAGAGGGAGATTAGCCTGAGATCCGGATGCTGTGGGCTTTCTCGCACTGTCCCCTCCCCCCATTTTCTTTTTTTCTTCTTTCTTTCTTTTTGAGATAGGGTCTCCCTGTAGCCCCAGCTGTCCTGGAAGTCACTATGTAGACCAGGCTCGCCTTGAACTCTTAGAGATTCTCCTGCCTCTGCCTCCCGATTGCTGAGTGTTAAAGGCGTGCGCCACCACGCAGGGCATCCCTCCCACCATTTCCATTTCCCTGGCCCTAGAAGAGGCACGCTCTACACCGCGGGCTCGCTCACCTTGGAACAGGGACTTGGGGTAGACTTTTTTTTTTTTGGTTGTTTTTTTTTTTTTTTTTTTTTTTTTTTTTTTTTTTTTTTTTTTTTAGATAGTCTCACTATGTAGCCAAGGCTGCCCTGGCCTGGTACGCCTACGTAGTCCAGGCTAGTCTCAAAATCACTGCAATCCTCCTGCCTCAGCCTCCTTCCTGGATGAGATCACAGGCGTGCTCCATCAATCCCTGCAGGACAGCTTTGCAACCATCTGCCTACAGATCCGAGCCAGGCTCCATTTCTCGAAAGGAGGAGCAGCTCAGAGATCCGTTTCCTAGACGGCGCAGAGGCTCCGTGGGTGGTCCACACAGCGCGCCCGCAGGTCACCCTAGCTGGAGCTCCGGCGCCAAGGCCTGGGTCTACCGCGCTAGCTCCAGCTTCCGGGGCGGAGCGTCCTCAGCAGGGCTCGTCGCCGTGGAGACGGGGGCGGGGCCTCTGGCGCTCGGCGCGCGGTAAGCGGCGGGCAGGGAGGTGCGGGGCCGAGTGGACTCCGGCCGGGCTCTCCTGTGGTCTCTCGAACATCCAGGTACACAGTCGGGTTTCACGCCCCGGCTCCAAGTGGCTCCTCCTGCTCTGAAGCCCGCAGCGAGCGCAGGTGCCACCCCGCCGGGCCCTGACCGCGCTGTTGGAGCTTCCTGTTTAGAAGGTCAGGCCATTCTGCCACCCCAGAGGCTGAGGTCCGCGTGGACGTGCGGGAGGGGCGAGCAGGACCTGACTCAGTCTGCGCTCCTTGCCCTGGGGGCTCTTGCGTGATTTCTGCCAGGCGCTTGTCTCTTCTGCCGAGGACGCTGCATCCTTCCCATGGGCCTAGAGCACTCCAGGGTGATGGTGCAGCCCACGCGAGGCCTGTTGGCGTGTGCAGGTCCATGCAGCTTGGCAGGACGAGGAGCTGGTGGACACAGATCCCCAGTAACCCAGCTGCGAGCTGAGGAACCCCACGTTGCATTTGTACTCATGAACTGCATACAGAGACCTAGAATGCCAGTTCCACTTGGCCTCCATCATCCCGTTTGTTGAATGACGACAGAACCTGCTGAGGTGGTTGTGCTAAAGTGGATCATTCATGAAAAGTGCTCAGGAAAAAAAACTTAGCAGATTACTTGCTCCGTAAATGCCATCTTAATTGTAGTCTGCATTTTAGAGTGTGTCATATTTACCAGGTGGTGAGAAACTATGGTTTGATGGTGTCAGGAAAAGGCTTCCTGGAAGTAGTTGAAACTTCAATCAGCTTGAGATACAGGTTTACTTGTTTGTTTGACAGGGTCTCCCTGACCCAGATGGAACTCACTATGTAAAGGTTGGCCTTTATCTCACAGCATGCACCACCATACTGGGCATAAATTTCCTTTTTACTTTAGTAGGCTCTTTTATTTATTTTTATTTTTAATTTTTTGGTCTTTTTGAGACAGGGTCTCCCTGTAGCCCCAGTTGTCCTGGAACTCACTATGTAGACCAGGCTGGCCTTGAACTTACAGAGATCCGCCTGCCTCTGCCTCCTGAGTACTGGGATTAAAGGAGAGCTCTTTTATTTTTTAATCATTAAAATCATACAATACTGAAGAGACTTAAATATGTTTAAAGTTAACATATTTAAGGGTTTTAAGTAATCCCAGCACTCCTCAAGAAGCAGAGGCAGGCAGATCTCTGTGAGATTGAGGCCTGTTCTGCATAGTGAGTTCCAGGCTAGCTAGGCCTACAGAGAGCCCCTGTCTTAAAAAAAAAAAAAAGCCAAACAAAAAACTCTGCGTGTGTGTGTGTGTGTGTGTGTGTGTGTGTGTGTGTGTGTAGTATATAAGAAAAATATGAACGTTGGGGGGCTGTAGAGATGGCTCAGATTTCTGTTCTTCCAAAGGATCCTATAGACTTCCCAACATTCATGTCTGGTGGTCTGTCCCTCTAACTTCAGGGGATCCAACACCCTCTTCTGTCTTCTGACCTCTGAGGGCACCTCTGCACATGTGGCATACACTAACACAGACACACACACAGGAACATAAATATTTTTTTAAATTTCATGTGTGTGTGCCTGAGTATATGCATGTGTACTGTCATGCAGTACCTATGGAGGTCAGAAGAGGGCATCAGATTCCCTGGAACTGGAGGAACCAAACCTGTGTCCTCTGCAAGAGCAGCCAGCACCCTTAATCACTGAGCCATCTTTTCAGCTCTGATCCTTTAATTTTTTTTAAGATGTATGTGTGCTGTACAGATACCTTTGGAGACTAGCAGGCAATGTATCACCTAGAGCTTTAGTTACAGGCAGTTTGAGCTGCTTGATGTAGGTGCTGGGAGTCAAATTCCAATCCTCTTCAAGAGCAGCAAGTGTACTTTACTGCTAAGCCATCTCTCCAGCCCCCTTATTCTTTTGTTTTATGATCATATTGTGACATAATTCACATACTATGCAGTTTTTCTATATTTAAAGTATTCATTAGATTTTAATTTTTTTCCTAGAATTTTGCGTGCATCCATCTTAGATTCAACATAATGTTATGAATTTCAGTGTTTTTACTTTTAATACAAAGTTTCTGCTCATATAGAAAAATAATAGTTTAACTACAGGGGGAATAAAAGGCTTTTAGTATTTTCTATGATCTTTCCTCAGCATTCGAGTATCAAATTGTTATATCTTTGGATTGTATTTTGTTAGAATATTTTATTTTAAATATTGCTGTTTGAGTTACTGACTTGTGTTTCATAAAAGATCATTAAATGGATTTTTTTCTTAGGGTTAGGACAGAATTTCCAACAGTTTCTAAAATGGCTCTAAACATCTGTCATTTTTTTTTACTTATTTATTTTTATTTTATAAATGTTTTGCTTGCATTTGGAAGTGCACCCATACATGCAATGCCCACAGTGGCCAGAAGAGGGCATCAGATTCCCTGGAGTTGGAGTCTTGGACAGCTGTCAGCTATTTATGTAGGTGCTGGGAACTCAACCTGGATCCCCTGCAAGAGTAACCAGGGCTCTTAACTCCTGAATCATCTCTCTAGGTCCAACTTCTCTTATTTTGTTTTGTGTATTTGGTGGTATCCTCTGTGTGACAATTATAAAAGCAAAATATCCATAACTCTGAAAAATGTGGAAGTGCTATGTTTCGAAGAATCAAATGTTCAGCCAAGATTTAATTCTTTATCTAAAAATAGAACACATCCATTTAAATTCATTAGTATATGAATTTGCTTTTGATTTAATAAGTGATAATATTACATGTATACCAAAGAATTTAAGTATTTTATTTTGTGTGTGGGGGGTATATTGATTCATGTATGTAAGTGCACACATGTCGTGCAGTGCTCAAGGAAGTCAGAAGAGAGCATTGGATTCCCTTGGAACTGGAATTATGGACACTTGTTAGCTGCCATGTGGGTGCTGGGAACCGAATCCTGGTCCTCTGGAAGAGCAGCCAGTGCTCTTAACTGCTGGGCTATCTCTCTAGCCCCATAATTTTTTTTTTTTAAGATTGGGTCTCATGTACAGCAAACTGGCCTTGAACTTGCTATGTAGCTGAGGCTGGCCTTGAACTCCAGTACTCCTGCCTCCATCTCCCAAGTACTGTCAGTACTGGCATGCACCATCATGTTCATTTTAAATTAACTTATTTATAATTTATTATCAATAAGTGTTACATTTGTATACTTATTTTATATACTTACAGTTTATACACTTATGTACCTGGGGTTGTATAAAAATTTCTCAAGGATAAAGCCATCAAGAGCAGACAATGTTAAGAAGCTTTGCCCCAGGGCAACTGCCATTTTGCTTTCTGACTCTATAATCTTTATCTTTCTGGACACTTCATGTAAGTGCAATCATCCGTGGGCCACTGTGACTGGCATATATTTGTTACCCTTTCATTCATGAGACAATGTGTCCCTGTAGCCCTGCCTGGCTTGGAAATTGCTGTATATACCAGACTGGCCTTAAACTGACAGAGATCTGCCTCCTGAATGCTGGGATTAAAGGCATTACTTGGCATAATATTCTCAAGGTTCATCCATATTTAAGCACGTAATGGTGTTGCATTTACTTTGACTCTATGTATTTTATCAGTTGGTGGACATCTGAGCAGACACATTTTGGCTGTTGTGAATTATGCCACTGTGAACATACTTGTAGGAGATTGTGAATAGACATGTTTTTAGTTTTTTCTGCTGACTACTGGAATTTTTGAATCAGCTTATCCCTTATTATTATCTGAGGAGGGCAATCTGCATTTATAACTGAGAGCCCATGTCTAGCAATCCTTGTTTTTCTTGGACTGTCTTTGTACTTATTGTGTATTTTTTGACTTGGGAGCAAATTCATGTTATTTGGAACAAACCTATGTCCTTGCCTTTCCAGTCTTTGTTTATTTCACCTGTGAGATTTCAAACATTTATTTGGGTTTAAAATTTTTATTTATTTATATTTTGTGTCTGAGTATTTTGCCTGTGTGTGTAGGTGTACCATATGCATGCAGTGTCCCTGGAGGCCAGAAGAGGGCGTAAGACCCCTTGGAACTGGAGCTACAAACCAATGCTAGTCACTGTGTGGGTGCTGGGAACTGAACTCTGGTCCTCTACAAGAGAGGCCAGTGCTTTTAACTGCTGAATTGTCTCTCCAGCCCCTTATTTGATGTCTTGAGACATGGTCTCTCACTATGTAGTCCTGGCTTGCCTGGAACTTGCTATGTAGACCAGGCTGGCCTCAAACTTGCAGTAATCCTCCCTTTGCTTCCCAAGTGCTGAGATTACAGATGTGTGCTACATCCCTATCCCTAAACATAGACATCAGTTAAAACTTGTATGGATAAACTCTTTTCTGGCTATTTATTATTTGTTTTCATTGACATACATAGCCTTAATTACTAAAATGACTTTAATCATTATATGTGTATCACAATCAGTACAAGACATGTGTTCTTCCTGTTCCACTGTGTACGTAAATTTTTTTTTATCTTTTTTTTTTTTTGGTCTTTTTGAGACAGCGTCTCCCTGTAGCCCCAGCTGGCCTGAAACTCATGTAGACCAGGCTGGCCTCGAATTTACAGAGCTCCACCTGCCTCTGCCTCCAAAGTGCTGGGATTAAAGGTGTGTGCCACCACGCCTGGCTTATCTTTTTAATTTTATGTGTATGAGTGTATTGCCTGTATGTGTGTAATTGCACCCATGTCATGCAGTGCCTGCCTGAGGAGGTCAGAAGAGGGTGTCGGATCCTCTGAAACGAGTTATAGACCATTGTTAACTGCCATGTTGGTGCTGGGAATTGAGCCTGGGTCCTCTGTAAGAGCAGTCTATGCTCTTAAACACTGAGCCATCTCTCCAGCCCCATACTTAAATGTTTTTTATTTAAAAAATGTATCTCTTGCCTCTCTTGACGGGCGTGGTGGTGGTGCATGCCTTTAATCCCAGCACTTGGGAGGCAGAGGCAGGTGGATCTCTGTGAGTTCAAGGCCAGCCTGGTCTACATAGTGAGTTCCAGGACAGCTGGAGCTACAGGGAGACCCTGTCTCAAAAAGACCAAAAAAAAAAAAAAATGTTATCTCTTAAAGCCGGCATGGTGGTGCTCGCCTTTAATCCCAGTACTGGGGAGGCAGAAGCAGGCGGATCTCTGTGAATTCAAGGCCAGCCTGGTCTACATAGTGAGTTCTAGGCCAGCTGGGGCTACAGGGAAACCTTGACTCAAAAAAAGACCAAAAAAAAAAAATATATATCTCTTATCTGATGTGTGTTTTGCCTGCATGTATGTTAAGTGCACCCATGTTGTGCAGTGCCTGCGGACATCAGAAGAGGGTGTCAGAACTGGAATTATGGAAGGTTGTTAGATTCCATGTAGGTACTGGGAATTGAACCTGGATCCTCTGCAAGAGTAGCATATTTTTTTTAATGTTTTATCCCCACTATTTATTTATTTTCATCTTTTTGAGACAGGGTCTCCCTGTAGCCCCAGCTGTCCTGGAACTCACTATGTAGACCAGGCTGGCCTTGAACTCACAGAGCTCTGCCTGCCTCTGCCTCTGAAGTGCTGGGATTAAAGGCATGTGCCACCACACCCAGCTTATTATTTTTAAGTGTATGAGTGTATTGCCTGTATGTATGTGAGTGCACCCGTGTCGTACAATTGGAGTTAAGGACAGTTTGTAGCTGCCATGTGGGTGCTGGGAATCGAACCTGGGTCCTCTGCAAGAGCAGTGAGTGCCCTTAACCCCATCTATCCAGCCCGGAGTAGCCAATACTCTTAATCACTGAGCCATCTCTCCAACCTCCCTAAGATTAATTGATTGATTGATTGATTGATTGATGTCTTTTTGAGACAGGGTCTCTCAACAGCCCCAGGTGGCCTGCAACTCACTATGAGACCAGGGTGGCCTTGAACTCACAAAGATCCTCCTGAGTGCTAGTATTAAAAGTGTGGACCATCATACCTGGCCCAAAGGTTCTTATAGATAACACTGACAACCACACAATTAATCTGGGGAAAATAAAGCAATCTTGATTGCTACAGATATTTTAAATTTTATTTATTTATTCATTTTTATTTTGTGTGTATGAGTATATTGCCTCATGTTTAAGTGCACCCATCTTGTACAATGCCCAAGAAGGACAGAAGAGGATGCTGCATCCCCTAGAACTATAGTTATGGATGGTTGTTAGCTGCCATGTGGGTGCTGGAATTCAAACCTAGGTCTTCTGCAAGAGCAGCCGGTGCTCTTACCCACTGAGCCATCTCCAGCCTCCAGCCCATACAAATATTTTTGTGAATAGAAATTGAAGGCTTTGGAACAGTGCTCGATCAGGAAGAATAAGCCTGCTATACTTTGTTTTCAAATTGCATTGTGTGTGTGTGTGTGTGTGTGTGTGTGTGTGTGTGTGTGTGTGTATGTGTGTGTGTGTGTGATGTCACAGTAGACATGTGGAGGTCAGAGGACAGCTGTGGGAACTGATTCTCTGTTTTCACCATGTGGATCCCAGGGATCTAACTGAGGTCCTTAGGCTTGGCAGCAAGCACCTTTACCTGTGGCGCCATCTCACTGTCCAGAAACAACTTTTTTTTTTGTCTCTGAGACGGGGTCTCTGTAGCCTCAGCTGTTCTGGAACTCACTATGTAGACCAGGCTGGCCTTGAACTCACAGAGCTCCACCTGCCTCTGCCTCCCAAGTGCTGGTATTAAAGGCATGTGCCATCACACCCAGCTTCAGAAACAACTTTTTATTAGTACAATTTAAGAATAAAGTGAGAGACCTTCTATACTTAATTAGTATTGAATTAAGAAAGGGAGAGGCAGGAGACTAGGAGCTGGTAGGCAGCTGTGTGGAAATGTGGCTAGGATTGGTTTTCAGCACTCCCATGGCAGCTAAGAACTGCCTGTAACCTCAGGTCCAGGGAATCTGACCCCGTCTTCTGGCCTCCATAGGCATTGCATGCACATGGTGCACTTGTACATGTAGGCAAAACACTCATATGTATAAAAATGAAAATTTAATAGAAATGTGGCTCCAAGAAATTTACAGATATTTTACTCTTTTTTAAAATTACTTTTCTTGCAGTTAGAAGAAGAAGATAAAAGGTTATTCATCAATAATCTAGTCACCAAGAAATGTATGTCAACCATTGATTGAATTTCCATCCAAAGGGCTCAGCAAAGAATGGAGAAGACTGACTCCAGGTAAGTGATGGGACATGACAGAAAAGATAACTAGCTGTTGTCCATAGAAAGATCTGGGTCATTGATTTTTTTTTTTTTTCCTTGTGTTTTTTTT